AAGATGGGTGACACCTATTTTGCACTATGTTAGCAATGTGACAGGATCCAATGTGGCTTCTAGGGGATGCAGAGGCGCAAACCCAAAAGGAAGGCAAAAGGTTCGCCAACGAGGGATGGGACGAAGTTAGTAGCAAAGTTGTGATGGGGGGATGGAAGGAACTCAAGCCTCCCAGCCTGCGCACAACAGTGTGGGTGCCCGAGTTCGTGGCCGACTGGTTCGGGGGTTTTAAGCACATCGCAGACGTGGCCGACTTCATAAGGGAAGCACACATAAAATGTGCCTGGCTGACTGAGGAATTCTATAGGATCTCCTTAAAATATGGGCCCTTCTACGGAGATAAAGCCAGTGAAGTCCTCACCGTCCTGAGGATAGGTAAGTATGACCGCCTAGAGGTAGACGCGGAGGCTTGGGACGCCATAGTTAGCCGGGAGGCGGCGGCCGCACCATCCTACGTGAACGATGTCTTTACGCTGTTTGAGGTACTATGGTTCGATTAAAGGAACCCGAAAATCGAACACCGCAGGGAGGTCGGAGTATGGACGATGCATGTGAATTAGGGTGTAGCATAAGAAAGGGGGCGTGTACATTAGTTAGCAGAGGATGCGAGGGGGTGGAAACAAAGGGAGGTAGCAACAACCGAAAAGGGGGGAAGAAAATTTGTACGTGTATGGGGCAGGGATAACAGCAAAAACCGGTGTACAATAGGTAAGGAGTGTTGAAAGACTAAAGCACGAAAGGCACGAAATCTCGGTGGGTGTAGTGATCGAACTAAGGGAGCAGGAAAGGAGACGTTGCAAGATGGCCCGGCGAATGACATTCTGGGAGGATAGGCCTCGCGGGATCCTGCCGCCAAGAGCATCGGGGGGCAGGGTCGAGATGAGCCTGCGAGCAAGAAATAAGGTGAGTAACCCGTTAATGGACCGGGTGGGGGTAGAATTGGTGGAAGACACGGTGTACCTAGTAGTAGAGTTGGAATGGCGTGCGGGAGGGGAGTTCGGGGGCATAAATTTGGACCTCCCAGGGCGCGTACATGTGACAGGATCCTTACACCTGTCAGAAGAAGGATGGCGGACCTTTGGGATTGCCTTGGCTTCCGGGGGTGACCCCGTGCGAATGTTCGAAGTAGCATGGCAAATAACCTGGCGGGAGGGGTTTGAGTTCGCGGATCCGGAACGAGATGACGTGACGGCTGAGGTAAAAGTCGCCGCAGCAGGGATCTTTAGGTTGCCAAATGAGGTCGTACGAATGAGTCTAGCACCCTTTCTACTAAGACGAATGGGAGGTGTCGAGCGAGTGGAGCAGGCGGTAGCTGCCATAGCTGGGCTAAATTTTGATGAAGCATTAATGTATCGTGAATACTATCGGACCTTTTTAAAGATGAGACATTTTGAGGATGAACAAGGACACGAGATGTTATGCATACTACGGGCAGCAGTAAATACTAGTCCGAGGATTCCGCAAAGAAGTGATGAGGCCATGTGGGGAGTCATCAGGCGGGAAGTAGGCCGGGGCACGACCTACATAGATGACCTATGCCGACTATACGAGTATCCATTGGAGGTTGCTGCTCCTAGGAATATGGAAGGATAGTCAAGACCAGAGAAGAAGAATGAGAACATAAAGGGTATGGGGGTAGTAGGTGGACGTTTGCTGAGGATCGACTGTAATCCTTTCTATGTGGACTATGCAGGGAATCGCCAAAGCAGCAATGGCAGCAAGACGTGTGTGGATGGAACGCCAGCCCCGGTACCCCGGACCGCCATGGAATAACGGCAGGCGATGGGAAGTGTCCCTCCCGTCAAATTTCAACTTTCGGGGATTCGACGTAGAATGGCGGGCCGTGACACTAGGAAGAGACAACGCCTTCATGTTGGTGGAATGTAGGTGGACAGGGATGAGACTCAACTGGGGGCCTGGGGATGGCCTGTTTTCCAATTTGGAGGTAACCGGGGTCCTATACCTACCCGAGGCTGGCTGACACTTGCTGGGGATAGGAATAGCGCCAGGCCACGAGTTGGCTCCCATCTTTCGAAGGGCGACCCGGGTGTTGACACGGATAACACAATCAGTTAGGGGTAGAAGAAACGTGGACTTACTTACCAGGGTGGACATGGGAGGTTGGATGGAATTCAGGGCACCAACCACACCACTGAGGTGCCCGGTCCCCCGTCTTATGATAGACCTTATCTTCGAGAGCTTTGCGAGGGCGCAGGAGCTGGCAGACTCGCCGATAGTCTGGGTAGACCACTTCCCCTTTCAGACCATCGGGATGTTCAACGATGTTTCTGTTGAACATGGGTCGTTCTGGGGAAATAGGGCCCACGAGTTACTGGAAGTCATCCACATCCTGATATTTGGGTTGCCCCGGCTAGGCTGGGCGGAATACGAACACATAATCCAAAGGGAAATCGAGATAGAGGAAAGTTATCTAGCGGGGGTGGCGCAACTATTCGAGGAGCCTACCGAACCGGAAGGGCCACGAGGGTGAGAACGGGACTAGCACCCGGGGATGGGCCAATAGGGCAAATCGAGTATAGTCCGTTACGTACAGGGGCTCGCCGATGGAAATAAGGAAGAGCCTCGGACCCGGACGATCAAAAACCGCTAGAGAATAAAGGAGGGAGGATAGACTCCTAATGATTGCCATGACCCTGAAGGTCGAAAAGGGGAATACTGCTCGGGAAACTTTCCCTAGCAGGGCGCCTAACCCGGACTCCTACGCGCCGGCCGACGGGACAAGGGCGCTCTAGACGAGCCTGTGATAAAGGAAACTAAGTCACGCCCCTTTAGCTCGGTAAGGCAGCAGGGTCAGACATGACTCCTTCTTAGGGAAGCAATCAGGAAACAGGAATGGGGAGAAGGCTATTTTTCTGAATAAAGATAAGCCGACAAAGCTGGAACCTAGAGAACCTAAATGCCTCGCGCTGCGTGTGTCCTGGGGAATCCTTTGGTTTATGCAGAACTAGGCAAAATGGCAACGGAGGATGAGACGGATAATTGTAAGAGCGAAGGAGGACCAGACTTGGGAGGCAGTGTCGTGCAAAGCGAAGAGGGGCAGAAAGACAAAGAATCGATAAATCCGGATGATACCAAGGGGAACCGGAAGGAAATCTCCTCAAGAAAAAGCTCGGGAAAAGTCGGGGGAAGCAGGCAAGGGACTCAGGAAACCAAGGAGGGCAGAAATAAAGATAGGACAAACCCCTGGAATTCAGAAGGAGCTGTGTCTAAGAAAGTAAGGGTCACGGATGCGAGGCGCAAACTAGCGGAGATAGAAAAAAGGACCGCGGAGTACAAGGCAAGATTGGTCGAGGAAATGATGACTGGGAACGAAGAAGACCCTCTGTAGGAAGAACCGCGGGACGAACGGAGGACCGACCGAGGCGGAATTGGGCACTGGCAAGGGGATAAGGGTAGTGATCGTGGTGGAACACCGATCAAAAGAAGGAAAGAGAGAGAGAACTCTCGGGGGATGGAAGCAAAGAAAGCTACAAACCCACCAGCCATAGATAGTAGGGCTAGCCGCCTGCCGACCACGCCAACGGTAGCGCGAGGGTGTGAAGGGCTCTGGAGCCTCAAGGAAAGGGTGTTGGGATGGTTCGACCCGGAAGGGACTGCAAAGACTAGGGAGGGACAGAAGGCCGGCGAGGAAGAACCGGATATAAGTAAGCAAAGAAAGCTACAAACCCACCAGCCATAGATAGTAGGGTTAGCCGCCTGCCGACCACGCCAACGGTAACGCGAGGGTGTGAAGGGCTCTGGAGCCTCAGGGAAAGGGTGTTGGGATGGTTCGACCCGGAAGGGACTGCGAAGACTAGGGAGGGACAGAAGGCCGGCAAGGAAGAACCGGATACCAGTATGGCGGGCGAGGCCAGTAGCTCCAAAGGCGGCCTTAGGAAGATGGTATCATCCCTTGCGCGAGCACTGAACAAAAATCAGGGCTACCTAGCAGACACTAAGAAAAAGTTGACGTTTGACGGGGCAAACATCACGGAATTCCTGATAGATTACGAGAATGTCGTCGCGCTATTGAAATGGACCGAAGAAGAAAAGATGGACCCCCTGGGGCAGCATGTGTCTTTGAGCTTGGGCCGGGACATAATGGTCATCGTAGCCGCGAGTCGATCCTGGAAAGAAACCCGGGATGTGATGATGAGGAAATACCTGGCAGCGGAGAAAATAGCTACGGAGGCCGACTTAGTGGCAGTTCAGAGGAAGAACTTCGCCACGTACAATGACTTCCTACGGGAGTTTACTCTAGTAGCACTAAGGATCCCCGGGGTCACGGACCAGATAATGAGTAAGTACTTCCTAAGGGAGTTCTCCGAATTCAACAAAGACAAGATCCTGTCGGCTTACCAACAGATGAGCAAGTTTGTAAACAATCGGGATGTTGATTTTAGTACGGTAACAGATCTGGCTGAGAAAACAGTAGTAACCGCAACATTGGCCTTGCTCAAGGAAGGGGAGGTCATAGACTTGACCAGTACGACAGGCGACAAGGTAAAAAGGGGGATTGAGAGCCTACACGAACGGGTGCATGGAGTCGACAATAAGATCGAAAGGGTGGAGAACGCGCTGCTGGTTATGCAGGAGTAAGTATCCCGACCCGCCCTCCCTCCCCAGGAAGCCGTAGTTCCACCAAGAGTAGCCAACCGAGGATTCGGACGGAGAGACCCCGCTAATAAGCAGTGCAAGTACTGCATCGCGGTGGGACATTTTGTGCGCGCATGTCCAAAACTCAACCATGATATATTAAAAAAAGATGTACCAGATCGTTACAAGGGAGATATTCGGACCACAGGGAGAGCGTGTGAATTGAAACTCTCCAGGGGGAATGCGGCGAGCCATTACCATGCTCAATGGGTTAGAGATAACTCCAGTAGAGGCCAAGCCGGTGGTAGATATCATCTGGGATCAACTTCGGGGCCGCGGGCCGCAGGTCAACTTCATTATGGAAAGCAACGGACGTGATAGGGTTAACGCGACTACTCGGTTAGGGACGACTGGGAGAAGGATTATCCGTGATGAAGGAGGTTGCTGGAAGTTCCGAACCCCAGGCAGAGCCCGAGGCCGAGGACCCAGAGAAAGTCTATGGGAAGTCTAGGGAAGAGGAACCTAGAGACAAAGTTACCACAACTAAGAAGAAGTTTCGGCATCAAATCCCGATCTTAACCATGCCTGAGATCGACGACACCCTTAGCAAGTTACTAGGAACCATGGTGTCGGTGTCGTTCCAGACCATGCTGCAGGCTAGCCCTAGGTTGCTCAAAGGGCTTAGACAACTATTGACTCGGCGGCGAGTAGAAATAGACGACAATCCCGAATTACCAGAAGAGGAAAGGGAGGAGGAAGCTCCGCAAGAAGTTGCTAACCTTCAAAGGAGTCACGGGGATCTGGAGGATCTCGAGAAGGCCTTTGCGGACATCCGCTTGAGCTTACCGGACCGAAAAGGTGGCGAGGTCATGAGGCCACCTCCCAGAACAAAGCTTAGCTTTCATGCGCTGCCCGTAGGAAAGCTGAAGATCCAGATTGGGACTCATCATACCGACGCATTAGTAGATGGGGGAGCAGAAATCACTCTCATAAGAAGAGACTTCCCAACAATCTCGGGTTGTATGGTGAATAAGGAAGTGACAGGGAGCATCCGGGGAGCCGGTCGAGAAATCCCGTTCGCTGGGTATGTCACGAAATGCGCAGGAGTTAGAGAGTTAATCTGGTCGTTTCAGCGGATGACAGTAATGGAGGAAATGGACCACGACATAATCCTTGGGAGACCGTGGTGCGCCAACGTAGAAATGATAGGCATGCACCTGCACGATGGCACGTACATGGTAGACATAGAGGATCCCATAACTGGCCGTGGGGAGCTCCTCTGACTCATCGGAACTGGAGGGGAACCGCCAAAGGGGAAGTTGGCGACGTGGTCGCCGTCGTTCGAAGGTAGCGCACGAAAATGGGCTTTCGCGCGGATGGAAGGTATGAGAGAAAGGGTAGAAATTATGATTGAGGAGGCATTCAACAAGAAGGAATGGATCAAGATGGGCCTGCCTCAGAAGAAGAGGAGGCAGGAGGACGAAGTCTTAGGTGTTATGGTAGCAGAAAAGGAGTCAGAAGTCGAACTCGGTGCCAGTCTGCCCAAGCGGAAAGAAGTACGCATGGACGTGCCAGAAGTCGAGCTCGAGATCCCGGATTTGTTACAACTCATCAAGGCCCTCAGATACCACAAGGTAGGAGTGGATTCGGCGGCCTTGGCCAAATTTGAAGGAGAGGTGCAAAATGGATATTGTCTAAATGGAAAATTAGTTAGTATTCAACCACAAATCGTAGAGGAGACGAAGGCAATCCCGGCCGTTCATTTTTTAGGAGAAAGATCCCGGAAGGAAGTGTTCGAAAGTACAAGCCGGTAGGGAAGAAAACAAAACCGGTATCGATTCTGCTAGAGACATCAAAGGAAGAGGCTATGGAGAAGGAGGAAGAAGTCCTTCGAGTGATCCAAGAGAGGAGACGACGGAAGGGCATCGGATACCAGATGAGGTAGTCGATGCAATGAAGATAGGGATAGACTGATTCTTAACGGAAGAAGAAACCCGCCTGATCAAAAAGACCTGCCAGAAGTTTCATCTGGCATTTGCCTTTAGTGATCACCAAAAGGGGCGGCTGGACGCAAAGCTGATTCCTCCGGTCAGAATCCACACGGTAGAGCATGAGTGCTGGAATGACAAGGGTCCGGCCTATGAATTTGGGATAACGGGGGAAGTGACAGACCTTCTTCGAGCGAAGATGGACTCCTTCGTCGCAGAACCTACGACGTCGCCATACACAAATCGGTGGTTCGTCTTTCGGAAGCCCAACAAGATGCTAAGGTGGATTCAGGACCTGCAGAAGTTGAATGCGGTAACCATCCGGGATGCTGGCTCGCTTCCTCAGGCTGACTTATTAGTAGAGTTGCACGCCGGTCGGAGTATTTACTCCCTGATCGATCTGTACTCAGGGTACGACCAACTTCCATTGGATGTCCGGGACGGGCCGTACACCAGAATGCACACCCCCGTAGGCCAATTGCAGATGCAGGTGACCCCTATGGGCTTTACAGACGCAATAGCCGAAGCGCAAAGGAGAATGCTCGCCATAGCAGGAGAAATGTTTCCAGAAAAGTGTGAGCCCTATATTGATGACAACCCAATCAAAGGCGCTCAAGAGAGGGACGGGACTGAAGTCCAGCCGGGGATTCGAAGATTTGTATGGGACTATCTGCAAGACATTAAGGACTTACTCCGCCGGTTCCTAGTATACAACAATATATCACGGTGTCGGGACTGGTGAGTCCCGAATGATTTTCCGTCACTCAAGAGACTGTATATGACCGATTTGTGCACAGCAGAGGAAACCGGAGTTGGGAATGCTGGAAGAATCGGAGGCGTGAGCACCGATAGTAGGAAGCTAGAGGCTGCCTAGAGTCGTCAGAACCGCCAAAATAGAAAGGGACTGTCTAAACAGGAAGCGGCGAAGAACTGTGAGAGGGTAGCAAGGGCAGCTCTTTCCCCAAGAACAAAGGAGGGTCGCCGGGAAGTTGGCAGCAGCATAGGAGGTGCGCAGCAAGGGAAGGAAGGAGAGTAGGAAGGGACAGGGCCCAAGGCGCTGACGCGACATGACGGCGGGAGGGCTAAGGAGATTGCAGGTTAGGTGGGAACCGGCACCCGGAACGGAATAGCATGCAAAACGCAATAGGAGCAGGGAGTGGAAATCATTGTAAGGCGAAAGGACGTCAGGAGCACCGAGGAAATACGTGGTGCGGGTGGGGGCAAAGTGTCGGGGACTACATGAGATCGAAGAACGGGGCGATACCTGCAGGACAAAGTGTCGGGGACCACGCGGGACTAGGGGACGGCGTGGTGCCGACAGGGCAGAGTACCAGGAACCGCGTGAGACCAAGGGAAAAGACGCAGTGTAGGCGGTCCGAAGTGTCGGGGACCGCGTGGGCCTAGATAAAATGTTGGCACCAGTGGAACCACTAGCAGGACGGGTGTCGACAGTATTAAGTGTCGGGAGCCGCCGATGGGGGCTGAAGGCCAGAGCAGTCGGCAGAATAATCGGCAACGAGCCCAAGGAGGAGGGCACGCGAGAGCGGGTCGTCAACCGGAATGACGCCGGAAGATAGGGGGGGGACTAAGAACAATAAGAAAAAGAGGAGAAGTCGGGTGCTGACGAAAGTTGCCAACGGAACAGACAAGACGGGCGTGAAACGCGAAAGACGGAAGGCACCTGTGGCCACCCAAGGGGACCCTGGATCAAGTGCAACCACAATAAAAATAAAATAACCTGACACTAGGTGGACGGGACCGTCCGGGCCAGGGAGTCCGGATGAAAATGTTAAGTGTCGTTGTGGCAAGCGTCGGCGGTAGGTGCCAAGGGGAAAGAAAAGATGGAGTAGCAGCAATAAGGGGGGGCCGACCAGCAGTCCGATTATCCCGGACCAGCCAGGCCAAGAAAAACGAAGTTCCGAGGGCTTCACGTGGAAAAAAGGGCTGGCCAGAGAAAATCGGAGCAAGGGGGTCTCAAACTGGAGGCGGCGGCAGCAAAAAGGAACCCCCTTTGGACTCGGGGGTGCCACTACTGCAGTCCGAGGTGCAACGGCCATATGCCGGCTGCAAAATCGAACCTTGGGAAAGGTCCAACGACTAGAAAGAGGAGAAATAGTTGTTGGACACTTGTCCCAACAGTAAATGAGAAAAGAAAGGAGGAAAAGGGGGGAGAATGAGACAAAGAAGGAGGAAGGAGTGGAGAAAAAAGTGCCGCCACGTTGGGACTGCAGCGGTAGGGACTGGCAGGTCTCAATGATGACCTCATCCCTCCTAGATCCTAGGAGGGCAGTCCGGATTGCAGAGATAAGGTCCTTGGGGCATTATCTCTGCAATATCTGAATTTAAGCAACGAAAATAAAGAAAAATGCTGATGTGAGTTGGCCGGCTCATTTTTGGGCCTTAGATCTGAGACCTGATCTTGCGGAAGAGGAGATCTAGCCAGTTTTTGTGGGCTGACACAAAACGTCTAGCTCCGGAATGAGTTGGCAGCAAAATGGAGGGAAAACAAAGAGAGGAACAAGACAAAACTGCGAATTTGGCCCAAGGGCGGGGCCAGGTACATCAAAAAAATTGAAAATGGGAGTAAAAGACTCAAATTTGGAGTAAGGGGGGCTTGGGAATAGCTCGGAATGATGAAAATCATGGATCTCAGCCAAATCCAAGGCTGAGGTTTGTGCCACCACTTGGAAAAATGTATTGGCCTACTCACAAAAGGCCTAGACTAGAAAAAAACGAAAAACGGGCCTCTAGGCCCTCAAATTTTAGTAAAGGCTGCATTTTGGGATAGTGGTACCCAAAAGGCAGCACTTTTTGAAGTGAAAAGAGGCCGGGGTAGGCCAAGGGGTAGTCCGAGAGGGTACCAGCCTCTCGGACTACATGTATCTGGCCAAAATGAGGCCTAGGTAGCCCCGGGGAGGCCAAAACCAGGATTTTGGCCTTTGGGGTACCTCGCTCCGCCTAGAGGCACTTGGAGGAGCCTAGAGGTTGGGCGGTGCACCTGTTCCAGCCTATATAAGCTGGAGGTGTAGGCCGCAACTCTCATTTGAGCATGAGAGGTGCCCATGCTGCCCAAATGAGTCCAGGAAAGAGTCTGAGTGAGAGGGAAGCAAGGGAGTGAGGGCCAGAGCTAGCCTGTAGCCTGGCTATGGTGGTAGGGATGAGGAAGGTGACCTAGAGGCTAGGAGGGAGCAAGGAGAGTGGTCCGCCATAGCCCTCGGGCTGTGAAGTAGGAGTAGAGGCTGAAAAGGGGTCCCCATAGCCCTTCTAGAGGGAAGGACTCCACAGCCTTAGACGTAGGAACCTGCCATAGCTAAAGGAGAGGTGTAAGGGAAGGAGGAGAGAGCTTGGGAGGGAGGAAAAACCATACTAAGGAGGCTAGAACCAAGCATTGGGACTCCACTGCCTAGAGACCAGCGAGAGGTGAGTGAAACAGAAGTGAGGCCTCCTCCTCCTCCTTCTTCTTCTTCTTCATCTTCTCCTTCTTCTTTTTCTTTTTCTTCTTCTCCCTCTTCTCTCCTTCTTCTTTCTTCATCATCTTCTTCTTCTTCTTTTTCTTCTTCTTCTTCTCCCTCTTCTTCTTCCTTTTCCTTTCTTTCTCCCCCTCCTCCTTCTCCCGCTCCTCTTGTCAAAACTGCGATATTTACTGATTTGGGAGCTTGGGTAAGTTGTGATTCACCTTGTGAAGGTTCTATGATGTTTCCCCTTGTGTTGATGCTTCAAACTTTGAGTTTTCACTGATTTGGGGGCTTAGGTAAGTTGCGATTCACCTTGTGGAAGTTCCGTGATGTTTCTCCTTGTATTGATGCTTCAAACTTTGAGTTTTCACTGATTTGGGGGCTTGGGTAAGTGGCTATTCACCTTGTGAAAGTTCCGTGATGTTTCCCCTTGTGTTGATGCTTCAAACTTTGAGTTTTCACTGATTTGGGAGCTTGGGTAAGTTGCGATTCACCTTGTGAAGGTTCCGTGATGTTTCCCCTTGTGTTAATGCTTCAAACTTTAAATTTTCACTGGTTTGGGGGCTTGGGTAAGTTGCGATTCACCTTGTGGAAGTTCCGTGATGTTTCCTCTTGTGTTGATGCTTCAAACTTTGAGTTTTCACTAATTTGGGGGCTTGGGTA